AGCCGCAGTGTAACTGGCAATACGCGGTACTAAAATCTGTGCAAAAAAGCGAATACAAATTCGCTGCTCAATCATGCAGCCCTTCAACGCACGCAATACGTGAACTCTCACATCGCGGTATATGATAAAACAAGCTTAATTTGGCTTAAGCAACAAAAAAAACAAAAAAAATTGAGGTCCTAAAAATCCAGAAAAATGGAATATTCTGGATAATTCGGAAGGGTTGGCAGGTATGGTACATTTGTAGAGTACATGTATGCTAATATCAACATATTTGATTTGAGAGCATAATACAATTCTACAATGTGCTAATCTTTTATTTATTTTTCAGGGTATCTTCGGCTGCGGGAAAGTCATCAAAGTGGACTGTTCCAGTGAACATGCAGTCTTGATTTGTAAGACTAAACTGTTCAACACACTTCAAGGCAAGACAAGGGTGAGAGTTTGAGAATTCATCTGCATGGGATCCCTATAGAGGAAAGCTTTTCAAAATTATGCCAGTTATGCCGACCTACAAACATTCAGCAAGTACATCCAGGTCGCCTCGCCCTGCCACAATCGACCATGTCACCTTTGTTCGGTCGGAAGGAATCTGAGAAAGTAATCTTCAATACACAGCTTTTTTCAAGCAAAACTTTTAAATTTGCCGCACAGATGTGACGTATACGCCTCTGTCTGTGTTGTGAGGACCCTAGGTCACAAAAAAATGTCGCGCAATGCATTGTGAGGGGAACCGGCTCGATCATTTACTTGATTTTTGCTCATTAAAGCCTTACTGCACTACTTGTAGCTACTTGCTCCCTCTATATAGAAAACTTCCCCAATCGGTGCCTGTTGGTTCCCCATGATCCTCTATTTATGTTATTTGAGAGCCGAGTTGATGAGATAGCCACCTGTCAGGGATCTTGCCGTGTGGTCTAATCCCTTCTAGCCAAACTAGTACAGATGGCCTTTAAACAAAATTATTAAAAATAAGTCTGAGGACCATTTTCCAAAACCAAGTTATTTTGGGGCTGTATGGATCTTTGTCTATCTAATCGACTCAACTTTTCAGTGGAGTGGACTTGTACTTTAACTACTTTACTAATACTCGGACGCCATGTTTTTTTTTGGTTGAATTTTTTTATGTTGATGTGAACTTCTTTATGTATAGTAAAATTATACCTTTGCCTTCACACGTATAATTCATCAATACAAAATTTTAAAGAATTCTTTTTTAGAATATTTATTTTTGTCATGACATCTCATTAAAACTTGCCAGATAGCCTTGCTACTGGTATGACACAGCACTTAGGTCATCTTTAAGCTGTTCAATAATGGTTCACATTTATCTGCCAGTTTTACCAGTATTTTATCAGCAAAAATATTAAAAAATGCTTGTTTTCGTGTTAGGAATATATTTCATTCAGATTAGATTTACATTATAATAATTTGGTTTACACAACTGATATGTACATGTATACATGTATATGCCCCAAAATTTGCCAGCGTTTGAGACTTTCCATCTATTTAGGTATTCATGTTAAGAGAGAAGATTGGGTTTTGGGAAGAGGTGAGAAAAAAAATTGTGAGCTTTATCATTGTATTATGCAAGTGTGGAAAAACATCAGATAAAAATGTTCCCTGAAAAGCATGGATCTTCAAATGCCTTAATATTATAAACATGGCATGTAACATTACAAATTGAGGTTCAATTTTTACGCCACATGTTCATGTAGTCCCATATTCGCATCTTTCTGTGTACAGTGCTTGTAACTTTACCAAGACTGGGCCAAATTTCTTATCATTTCGACGATTCCAGAACCTTGCAGTACACACCAATACGTAGATGCTGCTTGTAAGTGTCGGCTTGCATGGTGATGTAGATATACAGTATATTTGCGGGTGCACCATGTGTGAGAGAGAGAGAGAGAGAGAGAGAGAGAGAGAGAGAGTGTGTTGAGGAGTCCTGAAAAGGACTCTGACTCAGTAATCTTTCTTGGGGTGTGGTAGTCCTGAAAAGGACTGTTATCTTTCTTAGCATATAGTTCTAAGGAGAGCTATAGCGCTTGGAGAGGATGAGTGGCTCGACATTTCGAACAGGTTGACTATTGTTGTCAGGAGTGACATTTCTATTGCCCGGCAGCCGCCAAAAATATCCTAGCTACATTGAGAAGATAGGATGTCATTTTGATATAGAAATGAATATACTAGTTTGATTTAAAGAATATTATCAGTTTCCAATGAGTTTTTTAACTTTTTTTTTATTCAGATTGCAAAAGTAGATCATGAACTGCAAAATTTGTTGCTACGTACCACTTCTGATATACAACTAAGTTTAAAAAGTTTATTATGTTCTTGAAATGAGTTCAACTAGATATTTGTTGTCTGGCTGATTATATTGTATGCTATCATGATGTGCTATACGATGTCTCAAACGATTTCATGTCTAAGTATGTAGCACAAACGGGAGGTGTTTTTAAGTGTGACATATCGTATTTGAAGACATGTATGTAATTGAAATTTTGATAAACCGGATGATGCACCGAGATCAGAAGGTATAATGTTACATTCTCTTCTAATTACATGCCAAAAGCGTGGTATACCAATTCAATCTTGAATATATATTTTTTACCGCAGTGGTGCCCCTGTCCGTTCATCCCTAAATTGGATTTCATTCGATAACTTTGAAAATCTTCATCGAATTTGGATGTTAAGTTAGGATTCGGAATACGAAGGTCAAATATGCATAAATATACATAAATGAAATGCTCATTAAATATGCGTAAATATACATAAATGAAATGCTCATTAAATATGCATGAATATACATAAATGAAATGCTCATTAAATATGCGTATAAATTAAAAGAACCAAGATATTTGTTGAATTACATTACGCAAGTCATCCGTGTCCTATTGACACTGTGGGTTTCTAGTTTATATTTGAAATGCAAGTACTACATGTATATAGTCTATATGATAGTATAAGCAAATAGCAAACTTGCTGCCAATTGAGGTTTATGGAAATTATTATAACCACTTTATGCATGACTTGCCAAACTTAATTTGCTGCAAATATTAAGGTAAATGAAAATGATTATTATTACGTTATTTTCTTGAGCTGAAAGATACATTATATTCTTGCCAAACTAATAATTACTTTATGCTTAAATGTCTTATATGCCTTATTTATATGCATATTGATATCTGTTTTCTACTCTCCCCCCCCCCCCCCCCCCCCCCCGAGATAACGATGTGTACGTAGTATTAGAGTACATGCATGGTTCCCACAGTCTCGGAAATGGATTGCGGATATGGGTAGTACATGGCTATTGCAGCATTCCAATTTCGACAGACGATGGAAGCGGAATTCATACGCCGCTTGGACACCATAACCCATACCAGAATGGTATTTATCTGGTCATGGAAAAGCTAGGGTGAAGATGGGTCATGGAATTTAGTCCTCAAGTTTCTGTGGGAATCCTGACATTTATGTAATCATATCTTAGTGGAAGTTTGAAGTACATACCATGTTTTGGGACTGTAGGTGACATGTATATAAACAGTAGAAGATGTACCCTGTATCTAATACATGTAAATGTAGTAACATTTATAGTTCATGTGTTGAGTTTTATTATGGAAGAAGTAACGTTTTCCTCTTACCATATTAAAAAGAAAAGAAAATATATCTTGATTTCGTATGTTGATTTTATTTTTCTGTGTTTTACGATCTACATTTATAATGTGGACCCCAAATGATACCAAAAACCTCACTTGAATATCTGATCTTGATACCACGTGGGGCCCATATTGGACCCAGATGAAAAGAGGACATTGATTACATGTGGGGCCCATAAGGGGCCCAGATGAATATCTGATCTTGGTACCACGTGGGGCCCATATTGGACCCTGATGGAAAGAGGACATTGATTACATGTGGGGCCCATAAGGGGCCCAGATGAATATCTGATCTTGGTACCACGTGGGGCCCATATTGGACCCAGAAAAAAAGACAATATTGATACCATGTGGGGCCCATATAGGACCCAGATAAAAACACGATCTTGAAACCATGTGGGGCCCATATTGGACCCAGAAAAAAAGACAATATTGATACCATGTGGGACCCACAAAGGACCCAGATGTAAAAACCAACATGGCCCATATGGTACCCATTTGGGGACCGGGTGCAAACGGTATATGGGCCCCATATGGGCTATATGGGATCCAAATGGGCCCCATATGTGCATCACAGCTGGGGCCCATATTGTATCCCAGATACGCCCAGATAAATCCCATATGGGCCCCAGATACTTTGCTATCTGGGAAGGTTCTGCATTGAATCATCAAAAATGATAAGAAATTAGGCCAAGTCTTGGTGAAGTTACAAGCACTGTACACAGAAAGATGTATATGTGACTACACGAACACGTGGGGTAAAAATCAGTCCCGATTTTTACGATGTTACATGCCATATTTAGAATATGTAGGCATTAAAAGAGCCATGCTTTTCAGGTAACATGTTTCATCTGATGTTCTTCCACACTTGCATAATAACAACGATAACGCTCACAAATAATTGTTTCACCTCTTCTCAGAACTCAACCTTCTCTTTAAAATATAAAACTGGCAAGTGTAAAGTATTAGACCTGGTAGTGTCATTTCATGATGATCATACAAAAAGGGAATAATTTATGTGGATGACGTGGCCTATGTTATTTCTAATGGATTTAATTTGCTGAGTTTAAAGGCATCATGCTGCCTAGTAGCATTTTGAATATACATGTATAACAAATATAACAGATAAAGGTGAATATTTGAATTCAATTTTCGTTGAAGCCAAATGTTTCCTAAATTTGTTGATTATATTCCTCTCATTTGCTGTTTTATTCAATATTTTTTGTAAATTACCAAATCCCCCCAGATTCTCTTTAAACACAGCTTCCTTTAGAACATCCGTGATAGTGTATTGATCGATCGTCTTCTATGAAGCATATACAAGATGACGCATAATAAGTCTCATTTGATAAGCATTGTTCGAGAATCCATACCTGACAATTCGAAGCATGAGGCGGAAATGTTGAATCCATTCCCTGTGGGGGATCCATCTGATGCAAATCTCAAAAGTAAGCTGTTTCTCCTGGACAAAAATGGAGGAAAAGTGTTTTCCTCTCCAATGTAGCGCTGCCTTTTTCTATCGCTGCCTTTTTCTATAACCTTTACGTCACCGGAAGACCCGAGACTGAAGTTATTGAAGGTCAGAAGGATCATTTTTCCTTCTGGTGCGGTCACAAACCATTGTTTGTTATCATCTTCCTGGTATGGAGATGGGTAATTTGGAGATATCATCACGGCTGCACTCGTGCAATTGATAGGTACGTGAACATCTAGGAAGAGAAACAAATCACGTCAGCCTTGTTTGAAAACGTTATTATAAAGCAAAGGACATAACGAATTCACAGGACATAGAGAATCGACTAATAAACCCCATCACCCCGTGCAATACGAAACATTTGCAAAGCGGACTTCAAAAATCCCCTTAATGCATATTCATCTATTGATATAAAACATGATTTTATACATGTGCCTACTGCTGTTTGCTATCATGGATCATACAGGAAAAATGATTGTATTCATATTGTATTTACAACGACTTATCAACTTGTGCCAATCACAATTATGTTTCCAATGTTAATGGAGAGCAAATAAACCTCATCACACTTCCGTGACCTTCCATTTAGAAGTGGAAATAAAAGTCACCTCTTCATTATTTCAACAAAGGGTATCTTGAAATCGCAGTCGAATGCATGTCATCATTCACCATATGATGATAAATCATTTTCAGAATAAATTTATTAAATATATTTATATTCTTCTTCTACTTTAATCTTCTAACCTACTGTCGCCAAAGATGGAGAAGAAAAAAAGGTTTGGCCCTACATCTGAGGATAAAACGTTCCATAGACGTTTCCGGGTCTTAGTATTAATCTAATTTCAGTTCTAAAGAAATAGGACGTGAGATAATGGCTTGTAAAGATCAACCCCCTAGATTCATAAACATGCATATTAACAAAATAAAAAGATCGATAAACTTAAATTAACCCTTTTAAAGCGCTTAGGAGTTACGTTTTTGATAGTTTACCTGTACATCCGGCTCTGGTTAGGAAAGCAATGAGAATGACAACATGACGATATTTTCCAGCCAGTCTCAGTAACATCGAAATTAGAAGAATGAGTGCCTGAAGAGCATTCTGAAGGACAAGATTGATTCCTCGTGTGCCCTTAAAGGAGGGATGGGTCGAGTTATTACAACTGTTAGAGTAGAGCTCGTCTGATGTCTGCAGACACTCAGAATGTAAAGTCTGGGATCTGTTCAAGCTTTCGTCTTGCCAAGTCTTTGATCTGTGCAGACCTTCGGTCCTGTAAGAGGAGAAATTGTCAGGTTTCGGCTCACCCGCAGAGTTGACAGCTTTTGATTTGGACATGTAGGGTGATTTGTCATGTTTACGTGGACCCGCAGAGTGTACAATCTCCGATCTCTGCAGACCTTCGATGTGGGATTCCCTATACCACTGTCGGAGACCCTCAGAGTTAAGGACCTTTGATCTCAGCAGACATGTAGAGTGAAATCTCTTTGATCCCTGAATACCCTTACATGGTAAATTGTTGTACCCCTTCATACCTAGAGTTAGAAAATTCATGGATTTTCGTACTTTTTGATCAGCCGAATTGTCAATCACCAAAAAGAACAGTCTGTCTAGTCGTGAAGATGTAGATATCAAAGGTGCTGCTACTATGGAACGCACGAGGTTGTTTCTCAGAAGAGTTATACTCTGTATCATCTCCAATTTAATGCTTCTTACCCCTGACCGAACATTAGCGAACTCAGGCCGCCGATTCCCAAAGTTAGAGTTCATCGAACTCTTTCGATCCTCCGATTGATCGTACTCTGCGTAAAAAGAGGAACAAATTGATTAACTCTTCTATACAAATAATAATCATTTTCCGACATTGTACAACACAGGTATTCTGATAAATTTGATGTTGACGAAATTTATGATAAAATAGCTGGGAAAATGGGGACCGAGAAATAACAACATTTATTCATGAGATCATAATAAAGTATACTGACAAGAGTCTGGTGAAAATATTAACCTGTGTAGGTTTCGTGATATATATCTGTTCATTTTCATGACTCTCGATCAAAGGGTTAAGGATTTGAATCCTCATGTTAATCCACATTTGCCACTCTCCACACACCTGTAAATGGGTACCTTGCAATTTCAGGGGTAATAAGGGAGTTTACAGATAGCACATGGTACAAATGACCCCAACTTTCCACAGATCTTTTACACATGGAGAAGTTCCACTTTGAGCGTCTTTGAATATTAACTGCCAAAGTCCTAGATGTGCTTCATGAATACCTTTTGTTTGCCCTCTTGAAAAGAATACTTCCACCTGCGTATCTTAGAATGTACCGTTGGTGCATAAATGAATAATGTTACATAACTTTCATGAGCGCATATCCAGTATTCATCTCTAAGTTATGGGTTTTACCTTTTTGGTACAAATGACCTTTATCTGCCCATGCGCAGATTGTATCTGTAAACTCCCTTATAAGAATGGCAGGGTCAATATGAAGAGCAGTATTAATACTGACGTCACTACCCTGAAGAATGTTGATAGTAGACCTTTCCATGAACAAATAACAGGGTATCAATAACACTGCGGCGAGTGGCTTTGATGATGAAATTCAATGGGTAAAATGATTATTTGAAGAGTTTAATTCTAAAAAGGAGCTAAATCCATTTGTGTAACTTCGGAGAGAAAAAGAAATTGTTTACCAGATTTTGTACAGGCGTCTAAGGAAAAATTATATTAAAAGGTGCATTTTTTCATAATTGCTCTAAAAATTTAGGTAAATATTTTTGTTTAAAGACGGGTACTTATCAAGTAAACAATAATCTGATATCAATAACTCAATTTTCAGCAAAAGTGGACTTAGCTCCATTTGGAATTAAGCTGTTCATATTATATACGTACATGTAGGTAGAGTGTGTATAATGTCAATTTGACTTTACCTTTCTTTGGGAAATTGCGAGAATGTGGGAGTGGCTCATCATCATGTTGACAGCAGCCTTTTGTTCCCACCTTACAAATGTCCTCAGTGATGTAGGGATGGAGGATTTCCATCGTTTCCAACATGCTGTAATCTGGTATATCAAATGAAAGTTTTGTTTTGTTCAAAGTTCAGTATTTATATTCAAAAAGAGACACGAGGTACCTAAAGATGGTAGTTAGATTTGAAACCCTTGATGCGTTATATGGTACTAATTTTGTTAAAGATACTTAAAGTACAACCACAGCTTCCTTAACAAATCGGTTGTGTGTTTGTTCGTGTGTGTGGGTGGGGAGGAGTGATGTATGTACATACATCAAGACCCCACCGAAACATCTGGAACTAAATGAAGAAAGCTGGTGACAAGTCGAAAGCTTGGTCAATAAAGAGTTGAGGTTCAGCTACGTTTCTTTGTCCTCTGTCATCATTTACCTTGATAAGACACTTTCTAGAGACGCCGTCGAATTGGTAAAGTTGCAATGACCATTGCACTTATATGTATAAATGGATGGAAATAATTTATAAAGCTTAAAATTCATTACTGCCTTAATTTTGTGGAGATAATTTCAAACACTGCGAAATATTTGTCCTGTTTCTATACAGCAGGCGCGGATCCAGGATTTCTTAATGGGGCGGGAGGGGGAGGGGGGGGGGGGGTTCCAAATTTGAAATCAATTTGAAATTAAGTGTGCTAAAATTTGAAAATCGCACCGGCCGATAATTCGCTCAGTGGGGGGGGGGGGGGGGGGGGGATAGTGAGCACTAATTTTTTGTTTTGCCCTCAAAAATTTGACAAATCGCACCCCCCCCCTTGAGCGCCAGGGGGGGGGGGGGGTCTCCAAAAAGGTAAAATTAACGTGTTTTAACTCCTTTTTCCAGGCCCCCCCCCCCGCCCCCCTGGATCCGGCACTGCTATAGGCCTACAGTGTTTTGGGTTTTTTTTTTTAACTCTAATTTTCTCCAGCAGCATTTCGCCAAATAAAAATTATTAAATTTGCAAAACATGATCATAACAATTAATGCTTATTTCATATCATATGATACTATATCCATTATTCAAATATTCTGGGTTCGTTCAAATAATACCATTTTAAAGGCTCATGGTAGTCTAAGAGGGTTTTCATGGGGACTTTGACATCAATAATGTGCTCACCCAATAACAGGTGTAGATAATCACCATGAGTGAACTTCACTTTTGCGAACAACAGGTTTGTGTAATGCATTGTGCATTGGCTTATATACCGCATAGAAAAATTCTGATCATTATATCAAATTATGCTTACCTTCGAAATATGCAGGCTAGTTACAGTATTTTCTGGAAGGACTACGGGTTCGCTGTTTCAGAGACCTGTGAACACACGGATACATGGATTGGAAATTAAATAAACACTGATATTCAAGATAATAATGCTTTAAACTATTTTCCGGGGTAATAGGATCTCATTATGTCGGTATCAAAATACAATGATATATTTTTCTAGTTTTGTTTTTTTAAACAAATTATAATTACATTTTTTGATCATTTCACATTCCTTAAAAAGGTATTAATGCATTTGAACTTGTTCGTTTCTTTTGGGGGCTATGAAAGTGCACTGATGAGAAGAAATTTTGATTGAAATGTGGATATGAACAGATATGTTAAATCATTTTTGTAAGCGATAATGAAAAACAAATGTTTTTTTTTTTTCTCCATGTCCACGCACAAAGGATCGCTTGCCTTCAAGCAACAAAGGGTTCCCACCCAGATGTCTATATTATCGGGTATTTGGGTGCTTTTTCACTATTCAACGTGTGAAGATTGGCGCGGTTTTTATATTAGTTCCATGACGCAAACCATCAGATCCCCCCCCCCTCCTCTCCCACCCACGCACTGTACAAAATCCACTACTGCCGCGAACCTGCTTTAGAGGTAAAATTGTCGGAGGTGACAACTTATGACTTATGACGACTCAGACAATCATTCTTCTGCTATTATAGTACCTAAATAATTAATCGTTATCGAATATTGATGTTACAAAATCTATTAACTCAGCTTCAATACACGAGGGTCAACATACAATGTCTCTTTTGTAGAGCAGTACCGTTTCAATATTTTGTTACAAGGAGTTGCATCTGACAGTCACACACATACTCTTGGTTGCTCCGGTCCCTCGGAGTAGAAGCCCCTGTGATTAATTAAGAACTCCTTCGACTTTTCGGTCTTTAATGAGCCTTGTTCTTCTTTGATAGTCACAAAAGAGGACGTTTTTAAGGCTGCAATTTGATGATTTTAATCAATCTTCTTGCTTGTAATTTGTTAACGAAGAATGTGTGCTTGGTGGTGATTTGGCGACTGATGTGTTGCGATTGGTTTATGGTTGTGGTGCATGGGACGTATAGTGAATATTGATGAGAGGGAATTTAGGTCAGGATTACACAGAGACGCCATCAATATAAAAACAAGGCACTTACGTGAGCTTGTGTAACCCATTCAATTTATTATTTTTATTTGATATCATTTTTTTTTTTACTTCAATCTCATAAGATGTGATTATAAATTGAAATTACCTTCTATGTTATTGTTCTATTTTTCCTATTCATATTTTGCTGTGTTCCAGACAAACACGATCAATACAAGCAGTAAATGACATGATTTGCAGCGTTAAAGAGCAATATGCGAAAATTAGCGTTTTGTACACAAATGTATGTAAGATGTCAATTTTCGTTCCATTTTTAGCCCAGCATGTGGACTGCGAAATGTTGTGTGACCTCGCAAATTGTTGCAGATTTTGCAAACTAAGTTTCAAAAGTTGCGAGACACTTGGAAGGAAAAAAATCACAAAAGACAAGTTGCGATCTGACATTATTTCCTCTAATATTTATAGCTGTGAAATTGTAACATTTGACATTGTATGCATATGACATTTTCCCCATCGTATTGGAAAGTATCACCTGCCACTGTGTAAAGATCCAAGAATTTGAAAATGGCGTGTGCATGTTGTGCCCAACCCCTCTCATATATTCCAAGAACAGTGAGTATATCCTAGACTTTAGTTGGATAGTTTATGGGTTTTACAATGAACTTATGTATGTGTCATTTTGAAGGGAAACATGTTTATTAGTTTCCTTGTGAGTGCTTGGCATACAAATTTTAATTTAGAACACCTTTCTGAAAACATTAAAGGGTGGATAGCTTGTCAAATAACCCAATCCACTGAACCTCACCAATGCCATTCTGAACACGCAAACTGCATGTAAACAAATGTGACCACCATTTGACCCCTCCGATTCGAAAGGTCGTTGTGGACGATGGTGCAAAATATTGTGGGGCACATATACCAGCCCATTTGTAACCAGATAAAACCCATATGGGCCCCACAATATTTTTTTTATTCCATATTTTAAACCCTTAGCACGCTAAATTATTTGTTTACAGAATGTTTATTTTGTACCTGCAAATGTGTCCAAGAATGTCAACGTTATCATTGATAGACTCGTGAATACTACGTATTACATTGGAGGTTTCAGGTTTACGTTACGGTTGTACGGTTTTTGTTGGATAATGTATAAGCCTTTAGTTTAAAGGGTTGTTCCTTGAACCAAACGGCACGTGGTTAAATCCAGACTGTACTAGATTGAGAGAAATGATGAGTACATGATGGGTTAGATCGTACAGCTACATATGTAAATATGAATTTAGATTTAAGTTCAAGTCATAAATTTATGTTAGTTGTCTCGGAATCCTGATCAAGATCTTGAAATACATCGAAAGATCGGCGAATACATTAAGGTATTGCAAGCTGCCTACGGCTCTGTCATGTGTCGTGTCATTCTTCGAACGCATTGCCATTGGTATTTCATTGCGTATACGAGATATACGATTTGAAAGAATTATTTCCACGCAATTAAAATCGCATTTAAGTTTATCGTTTACTACTGTTAATTTCCACACTCTCTTTTAAATTTAAACGTTTAAATGTTTAGAAGGATGGGCTAAATTCACCTCTGATCATTTACAGAGAAGGCCATGCAGCTGCAACTACAACGAAGCGATTGCGAACAAAGGTACAAAGGTCAAATACGTCCTGATGACGTACACAACAGCCAAGTTCATTTGCATACTTTTGTATAGACAGGGGGACCTCGCTTACATACAATCGTGTATTGCCCGTTATACGTACGCGACCTATAACTCCATTGCTATTGAGACGAATCTACCACTGCTCTCGAGTGTAGCACAGGATGGTATTGCAAGCTGCGCCATCAACATCATTATTCGACTGCTTATATTCTGGTAATCATTTCGTCATATTTTCAGACAATTACAAACTGGTACTGACACAAGCTGCTTACTATGCTAGTCTTCCATTTTCATTGTATTGATAGCCCTGCATGAAAGGCAAAATCTTTCCGCCTGAGTATAATCGTGAAGATGAATTCGTGCGTTTTTTCACCAGTAATGTACGTTGTTGCTATCATGTTAATTTGCAGAGATTTGGTACAACAGTAAAGAAAATAATATAGGACTGCCAGAAACATTGAGATGTCACGTGCACTTGGTATCATTACACGTTTGTCAATGCTGCTTTCAGTCAGTTTATGCATCAAAATATGAAACCAATATTAAGGATAACAAAATTAAGAGAGGCAAAAAATAAACGCGACGTTAACATTACACTTGAACAACAGAAAATTAGCCAATAAACTTATTTTATTCAGTGTACGTTTGAAGAACTACTGCTGAATAGTCAGTTCTAGGGATTGATATCAGGTTCTGTGGTGATTTACTAACTGAAAAAGGGGAGAAATAATAGACTATGTTGTAGCCATTGAACATGGGTCAAATAAATATCCACAGATCTTTTACTCATGGAGAAGTCCCATTTTGTGTATTTTAGAATAATAAATGCAAAAGTCATGAATGTGCTTTATGAAAAGCTTTGTTATTCATCTCGATGGGTTTTAGCAATTTTATTACAAATTACCTAATCCTCCAATGCGCACATAGTATTTACGAAACGGCTTCCATACGCGTTGATAGTTGACTTGACACCATTACCCATTGTTGCCTTTTAGAAAAGCGAATGTAATAATTCCGACGTCCACTTTCGACTTACGAAGCACTGGTAAGTACCCTGTTCTAAGACACTCCCTTAGCTCTACGTGAATTTTCGATAACTTTATTTCGAAGGGAAAATGGATTTGTTTTATACAACTTCTACAAAATATAGCTACCGGAAGGAAGGCAATAACGATAGGGCCAATAAGAATTGTTTTCTTTCAAGTTCTTTAAAGTAATTAGTTGGTCAGCTTTTATATGGAGACTACATTCTCGTCATTTTCAATTGAAATATACATCGTTATTTTCATTCTGTAAAAGTTTGCGCTGTAGTTTAGTGATCTTCTACGTGTTTTTTTCTCGTGTGGTTCCTACATGTACATATCTGAAATACATTATAACAAGAAGCTACACCTCCATATAGCACATTCAGAAATTCCTCCCGTATAGGTAGGGTCTGTGTTAGTCAAAATCAAATTACGTTTTTGTCAAATTATATGAGTTAATTTACAGATTGCAAATCATGATTGATCATATCGATCGCTTACCTTAAAGTGGTAAAACATCGAGTTGAATCTTTAAACAAAAAAAAATCCAAAGATGGCGTCCACCGTAGACGTTTGTTATTTACCGGACCTCTTTGCGTCAATCATTTTAAAGTTGCATTACGATTGATATTATATAAAATATATCAAAGCCAAAGACGATACTTATAATTGCTGTTTTCTACAGCAATGTGTATTTTAGATGTATACCATATTAATAATCAATGCTACCAAATGTGTTTGTGTTGTAATTATTCGATAGTCATTATTTGAAAAGTAGAGGATCAACACGCAACCCTTGTGTATTGTCCCACCTATAACGTTCCGTGGAAGTAAATTGGAGTTGTTGTTTTTTCATTCAAGGACGAATTTCATTCGCAATCATATCTTTTACAGTGCGTATCAAACAAAATTTACCCAACTTTGGTAGTTTCTAATTAAAAGGTTATAATCTGTGTGAGCTTGAATCATATAATGTAAAGAAGAACTAATACCCTGTCTAATGATAGCATTTTCAAAATTGTGCTGCCAAGGATGGCTGAACAGCAGGATTTTCAAAAAGTATTGTCAAAATCCTCTTGTATCAAGTTTGGGCTGAAGCAATGAATGTGGGCAAAAAGCCATTATGTGTGTGTTATCTCGTTCCTAAACAATTTTTGTTGTTCTTTTTTTTTTTTACATTGACTATCATGCAATTGAAGAAAAAAAAGTGTTAAAGTGATTCGGTAACATTGTTGAAGGTTGATGAAAAAACTGCGTAATTTTTGTATGAAATGTTACTCATTGTATTTCTTCTACCGTACTATTCCTCTAACGTGCAAACATGCAATCAATCCTGACAAAACTCTCAAACCACAAATATGTTCATGGTTTTCTTTGAAGGCGTCACTGTGCGACATACTCTAACAGTAAATTCTCCCAACCAGTTTTTTAATTTTCCAAACCGTTTTTCCATTAAAGTAAGACATAACACGGGCTTTAAAAAATCTTTCAACACTTATATATCTTTAATGGTGTAAAGAGCCAATTCATTGTTTTGTGACGATTTACATTCACCCTAAATTTCAAGTGATTAAAATATAATAGGTATAGTTGGGAGAATTCAGGAATCGATCAGATCAGTTTTTCCTAATTTGTATCATTAATAATTGTCGGTTTTAACTCTAACTTTCAGATTATCTGCAATTGTACATCTAGCATTGAATAGTACCATTTTCTATCATCTTCGAGTCCCTTGAAAGAGAAGGTGGAGTTCTGGGAAGAGGTGAAACAAATTATGTAAGCGTTATCGTTGTTATTAGGTAAGTGTGAAGAACATCAGATTAAAATGTTCACTGGAAAGCACAGCTCTTCAAATGCCTTAATATTCTAAATTTAGACAACACTTTTTAAATACCCTGGTGCTCACTCAACCGTTGCAGAAATGTTGTAAGGAGGGTATCATTGGACGGAAAAAAGTTACTCTTCATCATGAAAGCAATCCCAGAGTCATTTTGCTTATGACTTACTAATTAAGAGCTACAAAAGTTGGGTAGACATTTAATTGATACCCTTTTCAAATGATGCAGGGGAATGAGATCATTGTACGAAATATCCGCACTATGCATTCATATTCAGCCTGGCGTCTTTTTCGTTGCATTGCCTTGCATCTGCATCGTGACGTGTTAAACCCCATTCACCAGAATCAGCATTGTCATTTACATTGTAGCATTTCGATACCCATTATGAATTAGTGCAAAATGTTTCATGCTCTTTAGTTATGTGTTGAAAATGGAAATGCGTCTTTCCCCGAATATTTGTTTTTGTTTTAAATATCACACGAATAAAGACAACAGATATAAACTAAATACGAGAGTTAACAAAATGTATAGTGCGTCATAAACACTGGCACCGGATGCAGGGCTAACAGGTCAGTCATATTAAACAAAAATACAGACAAATCTCATTTACGAAATTCCATTATGTTATTTACGTATATAGTAATTGCGCTATACTCGCTTACGGTGAGGGGTGTGTGGTGTGTGGGTATAAAGGAGGAATAATACTAATAATATGTCGCTTTGACTTTCCCCTTACCCCTTGTTTTCAGATATATTTTTTTTACAAAGTGATATATGTACATTTAATTACACTTTTTTTTACATTGCTCTGTGCAAATGTTAAAATATGACGGACGGTTTTGATTTCAGTCGGGAAATTTCAAACATGTGAGGACCTTGTTATGTTTTCAAACTTTCTGTTTAAATACCCATAGATGTTTTAACCTCAATTTTGTATTAAAAATGTTAAATGTTATGACCGCTATAACAATGATAACAAAATAATAATATATATGTGAAACTATTCGGCAATTGCTATTCCATTAACACATTCCCTTCCCATTCCAGATCGTCATTCTTACAAACTCCCTTGACACTATCGGTTTTCTAATGTTTTTTAAAAAGAAATTCTTGTTGCACTCCGACACCGACATCATTAAAAGTTGGTTTAGCCTGTTTACATATGAAACAGACACATGTATAACTAAGAGGATTCTGCTTTAATAAGAATGTGTTAACCAACATTTGTATTATATTCACAATGACATGAACATTTGGTGTCTATTCACCTTCACACCGAAAATGGCTTCTTGTCACGTTCACGCTGAAACTCTACAACCAGACCTCAACATTATTTTTAAAGATTGTGTTATATTTCTAAGGAATCTGTGTGTATTGTATAGCTGTATATAATTTTGGAAATATAATTCCGTGTATTACACGGTGATGTTAGCATCATGAGTACATGTCTCGGCTGAAAGACATTTTGTTTGTTTCATTATTTCACCTTTGTTGAAATTGATCGTAATATGTTATTCGGAAAATATGTTAGTTATCATGTTTCGAATTTTTTGATAAAAATGATTTTTGTAATAACCCCCCCCCCCCCAAAAAAAAAAAAAAAAAAAAAAGGAGAATGTATTTACAATAACAAAAAGTATTCATTGATACCTACATTGAATTTGAAATGTAAAATGTATTATATTTTTTCCTCTACCTTAAAACTTTTGATTCTCAAACTGTTAACGAATGCAGTTCAAACGCTTCATTTTTGTTGTTAAAGATAAATCAAACAAATAACACACACAAACCAAAAGTAAAAATCTCCTACTAATGTAGTTATCAAAGAGTGATAATGTTTCGTTATATAAAAATCTGAAGAGGTATGTAAATGTAAATGTAAAAAGGTCAGTGAGGGTGTGTGTATCTGTATGAGTTTGAAAATAAATATATAATACAGTTGAACCTGTGTATAAAGCCTGCTCAAGGGAGACACGAAAAGTGGTCTTTACAGGCAGGAGTTTTTTTATGTACTGGTTCCTTCAGTACATGTTCCAACGAGGCAAGGGAAAATACAAATTTGGTCTTTTTAGACAGGTGGTCTTTCCATACAGGTGGTCGCTTTAGTCAGGTTTGATTATATATACAGTGTGTCCCAGAAAAAACGAAACCGAGAATTATCAATGTTTTATCATAACTTTATCACAATTATAATTAATAAATGACACATACTTGTAAAGCTTAGATCCTCTTTCATTTGATGCAACTCATATGATGTAGCAACAAACTGAGTTGACAAAAGACTTAACTCCGTTTCATTGACGATCAGCCATGCACAGAAAAGACGAAAAACTTCAAGCATGGCTGATCGTTAACAAAATGGAGTCTACTTTGTCAACTCTGTTATTTGCTACGGCAGGCAGCCAGTGAAAACGAACTCGTTTAGTCAAATTATGGAAATGCAAGCATTACTTCAAACAGAACTTTCTTATTCTTGTCTCATTTTTCCTGATTGAGGTGTCATATGAAAGGGCGGAGATTGAACTTCCTAGAAATGTGATTTTCTCCATGAAATTTGGATACCGCCAGTCAAATGACTTGTTGGTTTCCTCTTTCTCTTCCTCTTCTTAAAATTATTTTTAATCACTCGTGCGTGGAATATTCATCATATGAGTTGCATCAAATGAAAGAGAAGGATCTAAGCTTTACAAATAGGTGTCATTTATTAATTATAATTGTAATTAAAATATGATAAAACATCGATAATTCTTGGTTTCGTTTTTTCTGGGACGCACTGTAGAGTGATCCATTTCTTTTAATGTTTAAAAAAAAGGGGGCCTTTAATGCAGGGAAGCAGAAGAAAAAAAAACGTTTTCAGATAAATCGGGCACAAAACATAATAAAGATAACTATATTTATTAAGGTTACAGTTGCACATAAAAATGGATGATCGTTCTATCATATTAATGTTATCGTGTTTGTGTAATGATATGCATGGATGAACTGCCACATAATCCTTTTCCCAACATTAGCCTTTCCTGTTTTACGACCACAAATGGGAGGATTTTCACGAATCAAATCACCCATTATCACCAAATGATATTGATCGCAGCCATGGGATCAAAATGAGACCAACTGTGCCTTCCTCTGCTTTAGTAATTGACGAAGCAACCAAAAGGGGGAAACAGAAAGAAAAATAAGAAGTGTAGTGTCATAGTGAAATTATGCTCTCACAGCATTCGGCAGCAACTCCTAGTGAATCGTCGGAAACTGAAAAGTAGTGGAATTTCAATACATGAGGATTTGAAAGCTTCAAATTTCACTCTCTTGCAAAGTACTCAAAGCGATGACAAGATCTGTGCGGCATGGTCTATGGACGGACGCATCTTTGGAACGCTAGAATATAAAGGGAAGAAACATCTCATCAAAAGCATAAAGGACTTGAGGCTCCTGTAAATATCCACTAATATTGGTGCTACATGACCTTCACATGTTTTGAACCCTATTAAGCAAGGATCTCTTCTAATAAGGCCCCTATATCGTAGCAGCATACCGTGCTTTTAATAAAAAGAGGAATTCAACTCTTACTTTGCTCTGAATCTCCAAAAAGAAATCCGGTCTTATCTAAGCTCATAAACTCTTCCTCTTACTTACCTGAGCAATGTAACCATTTTATTTATTTTTACCCAACGAACGAAACTGAATTGGTTAATATAGTTTTTTAGAATATGAAAAAAACTGCCAGT